CCAATTACACTATTCAAAAATATACACATCTATATTTGAGCCTATAACATATGCCTCAGAGACATGGATCATCAATTTAATACACTGGAAAATACTGTTAACAGTAGAGATAGACTATTGGAGAAGGGCAGTAAGAAAATCAAGAAGGAAAAGATTTAAAAATGAAAGAATTCTGGAGCTGATGGAGATGGAAAGAAACATCATAGCAAATATTTAAAAGAAAAGATTATGCTAGTTTGGACTTGGTAAAAGAATGATGCCTGAAATATTACCAAAGTTATGTATGGAACTGGAAGTCAAAGGAAGTATAAATGTAAAATGGAAAGAAGTGAGGGAAGAAAGCCTGGCAGGGCATAACATGAATTAGATAAAGAAGGATGGAAGAATATCTCAAATGATATTTAGGTCAAGAATAACCACTGTAGTGGAACAGTCCTAAATAATATATATATATATATATATATATATATATATATATATATATATATATATATATATATATATTAAACAACCATTTGTTCAACAATAAGTAAACATCAAAATGGTAACTTCCGCTTCTCTAGTAAACTCAATCCTATCACAATTTCTTTTTTTTGTTACCTTGAAATCCGAGGAGGTAGAAAAGTTATTTTGAGGTATTACAATATACTAAGAAAAAAAAAGCAGTTTATTATTTTTTTAGATTATAAAGGGGTCACTCCATGTCATTTCAACCAAACCTTGACAATCAACATCTTAGATTTGGATGAAACTTGGCATATACAGTGATGGAAAAAAGTATTTGCACAACAAGTTTTTATGAATAAAGTAGTTCAAGGAAACAAAAAATTTCACTTTGCTTTGCAAAAATGAAAAGTAAATTTATTAAAAACTGAAAAAACCTTTTTACAAAAAAATAAAAACACTTCATAATCAAACAAAATAATTAAAACAATAAAAGTGCTTGGAAAAAAGTATTTGCACACTTCCACGTTTACAAGTTTATTTTAAATTTTAATAGTTTTAATATTTTGTAAATAGGCCATTCGTGTCAATTATTGCTTGTAGATGTCTGGGCATTAAATTCATTAGGTTTTTAATTAAATATACGTTTATTTGTTCCCAAGTTGTTTAAGGTGATGTTCATTAGTGATATGTGTCCACTAATGTTTTCTTACATTTTGGTCAAGGGTGTGCCATAAATTTTCAATGATATTTATATCTGGTGACTGAGGAGGAGTGTGGATCTGTCTTGGAACATTAAATATTAACCACTCCTTTGTTCTCCTCGCAGAATGTTTTGGATTGTTGTTCTTCTGGAAATAGTACTGATCCTGGATTCCCATTTTTTCGGCACTAACACGCAAATTACGTCGCAAAATGTTTACATAGTCTTCCGCATTTAAAATGCCTTCGATGCTCATAAGATTTCCCACGCCATGGTAGGAAACACACCCCTAAACCATAACATGTCCTCCACCAAGCTTTACAGTTGTTAAAACATTTTGCTTCTTAAGAGCTTCATTACGATGTCGCCATATCGTCCTTTGAACATCTGAACCAAACAAATTAAATTTGCTTTCGTCAGAAAAAATGACATTTTCCCAAAAGCTTAAGGGTTTCTGTACGTACTCCCTAGCAAAAGCAAGGCACTTTTTGCGATTTCACTGATGTATGGCTTCTTTCTTGGAACTCTACCATAGAGACCTTCCGAATTCAGGGCATATCTAATTGTTCTGCTAGTTATCTGAACTCCAGACGTTGATTGGACCATGGTAACCAGCTCCCGAGAACTTATCAGAGGATTTTTAAGAGCTTCTTTTCTAATTTTCCTCCTCAGCCTGGGAGTTAACTTTTTTGGACGCCCTTTACGCTCACTGTTTTCAGTTGAACCACATTCTTCATACCTTTTTATGACGTATCTCATTGTAGAAAAATTCAACCCTAAGAAATCGGCAATTTGGCGATATATTTTTTGCTGACTCCAACAATTTTTTCGCGAGTTGCGGCACACAGTTCACTTGTCTTTAGCATGATAATTGTCTATTGACTAAAGGAAACTGATTGAAAGACTAGAGAATACTGGTAATAAACGATTAGAGATAAATTAGTAAACAAACCTATGACCTATGGACACAGGAGGATTAATGCCAAAGTAAACAGAGCTTGTGAGTCATAGTTTGCAAATACTTTTTTCCAAGCATTTTTATTGTTTTAATTTTTTTGTTTCATTATGGAGTGTTGTCATTTTTTTCCAAAAGGTTTTTCTCAAGTTTTAAAAAATCTACTTCTCATTTTTGCAGAAGAAAGCGAAATTTTTTGGTTCCTTGAACTCATTTATTCATAAAAACATGATGTGCAAATACTTTTTTCCATCACTGTATATATTCTCTTCCTTGATTTAAATAACCATAACAATTTTTTGCTCTATCTCTGATAGTTTATATTAAGTCCTCATAAAATGTTTAGAATGTTGCAATTTTTATCATGATAAAAAGATAATTTTTTTTTCCTAAAAGTTTGCAACTTAAATATTCTAGTAATAAAAATACCTCTGAAAAAAATAATAACAAGAACTGAACTGATTTTTAAAAAGTCCTGAATTTAAAAAATCAATGCCCACTTTAATTCTACAGATGCTGTAGCTTCATTCTTCTGTGAAAAGTCACATCAAAGATGTTCAAACTCTTCCAGAGACCTAATATTTTATTTCTTTTTTTTTTTAAACTTATTTAATATACTACTTATTTCAAATTTTTTTACCAGAATTACTTGAGAAAACCATTTCCCCATCAAACATTCTTTGGTCCTCTTTTTCATTATCTTTGTAATTACATAAACAGCAGCAAATAGTATTCTCTAAAAATCAACTCTATGAAGACAGGAAACTATTCTAGTGATAACATGGGTAACGGAATGATGATGTATGTGCAATGCTTTTGGATGCCATTCTTATTACACCCAATTCGAGCATTTGAAGATATCTCTACAGATGAAAATGTCAAGTAGTTCCATGACTTGAATGGAAATGAGATGTTCAATAATAATATGGTTGAAATGGAATAAAAAAATTATATAAAAGAAAAAAGCTAAAACGCTGTAACCTTTATTTAAATTAGGATTCACTTTAAAAAAAAAGATTATTTTGGCTAAATTTCATCATTTTTTAAATCTTCATTTTCCTTAAATAATGGTGTCTATTGAATTTAACTTTGGGTTTGGGGGTAATAATATAAAGTGCCTTTTCCATTTTTCCAATATTGATGAAAAAGTTGCCGTTACATCTCAGACATATAAAAACCTTAAATATGCAATTTCAGTTTCGTACAACTTTTCGTTTTTGAGTTAGACTGTTCACATACACACAGACCATTTTGCGAGACTTGATTATTAGGACTCAGAGAACCTCAAAATGTGTATTTCAGTTGAAAACTCAGATTTAAAAATTTTCATGATCACAATACTTTCCTTTACTATATATTTCATATATAGGTAAGTGAAAGTAAAAAAGTTGGGGTTTCAAATACTTATTAAGAGGATCATTTTTGTGAATTATCAAGTGCTTGGTGATTGATTAAGATTGTTTTTCAGAATTTTATTCCTTCTCAAATTGCTAACATTTTCAAAGAAATAATTATTAAGCTTTTTTAACATCAGTGAGGTATGTAATTGATTGAGTGCGTCATTATTGTATTATTAATGTTATACTAAAAACTATTATGTATTTCATGTAATAGAAGCTAATGAATTTCATAACATTCCTATTTCATATTGGAAGGAAAAAGAGGATAGGTTTACAAAATAAACTCCAGTTTACAAAGAATTTCAAATAATATTTTAAATTTCAAATATTTGTATAATATTTAATAAAATACATAAACACAAAACAAATATATAGCAATCAAATTATACATAAATTGTAAACTATATTTTTTTTGGCATCTGTAATAGTAGGCCGATTTATTGCCCCTATTATTTAGTTTCATTCTGAGGAAACTTCTGATTTGTATTTCATATAGGATAATTCATCGCTTCAGTTTTTTCATACATTCAAATGATTACATACATGTATAAAATATCAAGTAGAATAAATTAAAATGTAATAAATTATGCATTTATAATTTTTTCAATGAATAAAAAAAATATATAAAGCAAAAATATGAAAATGAATCAAACATGATTGAGCTGTTGTTGATGTATTATATATATTTTTTTTTTGCAAAATCCATGACCAACAAATATAAAGTTATATACAGTCAGTCATTAATCCTATTTACATTTGCTTTTTATTCTCTATGAGTACATTGGAACAGTGATAAACTTGCTCTATTAAAACCTCTAAAAGTATTCAATGCATTATGTGACCAGTATTGAATCACAGAAACATTTCATTGCCACTAGTTTAATGCATTATTAAAGTAGTATAGTTCATTATATACTTTATAGAATCTATCATTTATTTACAAGTAAAGGTTAATACGTCACAGCATACATATCAATATACATCATTTAAGCACTTTTTAATGACAACAAATTGAATTGTACTTATTTACATATTATTATCTTTAATTATACAAATAGCATTTTATACATTAGCTAGATCTTAGGTTAAAACATTCATTTATCTTTATCTAAGATCTGAAAACCACACTTTCATTCTATTTCATTAAAATGTTTTCTTAGACATTTTAATTTTTAAATTTATTTTTGGGTTGCGGTATAGTATCAAGTTGAATTGTATACTTATATACATGATGTTATCTTTTGTTATACAAATACTATTTAATAAATTAAGTTGATCTTAGATTAAAATATTAACTCAACTCCATTTATTTTTACCTAAGATCTGAAGGTCAGATTTTCATTTTATTTAGTTAAATTGTATACTTTACAGAGACATTTTAATTTTTAAAAACATTTTTGGTTATAGTATGTTTTATTTTAACATACTTATTGGATTGATTGATTTTTGAACATTTTGTCTAATGACTTATGTTATTTGTCATTCTAAGATGTAATTCTCATTTACGATGGTCCCAACTTGAATTATAAAACCATGAGCTATTGTCATCTCTTTTCCCCCATGAACTATCCATGCTATTCTCCTGAAAAACAAAAAAGAAATAAATAAGTTGTGTGTATGTGATGTAAGATCTAGGCTAACAAATCATTTGGGTGCCCTTCAGTCATATATTGCATTTTAAAACTAGAAAAAAAAATGTGACAACATGCAGTACTTATAAAAATATTAGTAGTTAGTGTGTAAAACTACATTAATATAATTTTTCTGTTGAATATGTTTAATTACACTTAGGGAAGGCAAAGAAAGTAATAAATTTAGAAAATGGTCTATATTGTATAAATGTTTCACGTACTGCAAACCTTCACTTTTCCCTTCTTAACTATTTTGTCAAGCTGTGTTTTGCAAAAAGAAAACCAGTAGTGATAATAATATAACTCAAAATATAAAGACATTGAGGATACTCAAAACGTATCCTATCAAAGGTGCAGACTTCAGGGGAGAGAGGGGGACGATCCTCTCTCCTCCCAATAAAAATGTTGAGGGGGCGAGATCCCTGCTTCCCCCAATGACTTCAGGTAAAAAAAAAAATTAAAACCAAGAATAAATAAGGTACATAAAAACAATTAACAAAAGTCGACTAACTGGATAGGCTATGGCCTAACAGTAGATATATAACTATTTTATTGATTTGTTATTGTTACGTTTATTTAAATTATCATTTATATTCAAAGATAATAATAAATATTAACATATCCTAGGATTTTACGATTCAATTAACCCTCAGTTTTTACGTGATATTCTTATCAAAGATATTTTTCACCTTTTTACATTATTCATTTTACCTGAAAAAGTTCTGGAAATGTACCAATGGTATGAAGGATGTCTTCCCACCTCTCTGTATTTAATCTAAATGTTATATATTCAGTTGTAATTATTTTTCAAGAATATATTGTTGGCACCATGATAAAGTAAAGAATATGAACCTGTTTAATGGTGCAAACGATGTAATATGTAAAACAAAAAAATAATCCTTATAACTATGCAAACATAAAAACAAATAAATTTTCAATACTATATTTGTTCATTTTACAATAGTTATATTGAATTTTTAAACAAAAATATTCCTTTTTTTTTTTTTGGCCCCTCACTCCCTGCCCCTATCAACATCGGAAGTCTGCACCTATGGATGCTATTATGACAGATTTCTGACTTCTGACATTACTATTATTACCTTCTTCTTTATGTATAAATGTATATATGTATCGTTAATGGTAACTAAGTTTTGTAATCTTCCATTTATAGTATATACCAGTGCTTCTACATATTGATTGATTGAATATAGCTTTTACTTAGAACCTAATACATTTAGTGTATTATATAGACAATAGGGGAGAAATCTGCTGCCTCCAAATGATTTAAGGCCGTCTTCATTAATCTACTACTATAATTGATTGATATTTAAGTATTTAGGTTATGAAAATTTAAAATTAATTGAATTAAGTTGAATATATGTGTATTTACTCATAAATAAAAAGAGCAATAGTAAAATATAAAATAATATTGAGGCCTCCATTATTACTGCCTAATATTACTATTATTACTGTAGTCCCTAATGATAAAAAAATTATGTATGCATAGGTACATGATATTGACCACAGTACGTGGGGAATCAGCATCCTCTGTAAGTTTTTGTGTAGCTTCCATAAAAGTTAATAAGATTATTAATTAATATTTAATTACCTGCATTACAACAATTTGAAAATTGGTAAAATTAAAATTTATATAAAAAAATATATGTATCAGCATCTTTTTTTACAACCTAACTTAAATGCAATCTTTAATTGTTGAATGGTTTACCACTTATTCACTCTTGGGAATTCTTCATGCCATTATATTGATATTGCTATTGGACATTGCAAGAACTTAGGAAATAATTTTGGCATTAACTTTACATTCCCCAACTCTTTGTTTTTATTCAAATAACTCATTTAATCCAAATGTTAAATATTCAAGACTTTTTGTGTTTGTTGTTTCAAGGCCTGCTCTGGCACTGTTTGGGACCCTTGGTCAGAGCTCGAAGTGTGGCTCCCTTATCAGGAATATATATATATAAGTAGTTTTCAGGAATTTAAATATATAATAAATTTAATTAAATTTACAAAACAATTATTAACCCATCTGAGGGTCCTCAAAAATTAGTAAAAATAAACAAAAAAAAACAATTATTTTTGGACTCCTAGAACAATGATTTTGGAATATCCTCTGGCTCAGGGGCCCTCAGTGATCGTCCACTAGCCCACCTGGCATACTTACCTTGACCTACATACCCATATGATAATAAACATAACTATATAAAACGACTTGAGTCAATTTGGGCTCCACAAAAAAAAAAATTAACCAAGAGTGAGTCAGCGGACTACATTAGTTTATAGTAAGAATCTTTGTTATAGACTTTTAAAATGAAGAATAGTTTGTGTTGTGTGATAGAGGAATTTGAAGTTGTTAATCGATGGATAATGTGTTACAATGGGGATGGAACACTATTATATAAGTACATAATCCATTATTTATAAATGCATTAAGTATGCTGCATTTGTTATTAAATTTACTTTTAAAATAATTAAATAATAACAACATACTATTTCATTATGAAATAAATACCGTGTTGGTAGGATTTGGTGGCGGCAAATATTCCATGTTGGAGTAATATCCTGTATAGTTGTGTGGATAACTACTTGAGTAGCTGGTAGCTGGGGCACTCAGTCTTGTTTGCTCTCCATTTGATTCCAGAACTGGGCTCCAAATACTTGCATTGCACCCTAAAAACATTACAATTACCTTCAATTTTAAAACTGGACCAATATATAAAAAAGGTAATTTACATAAACATGATAGTTACAAATAATGTCATAAAATGAAAATCCTTATTACTTATCCAGCCACCGAGATCTTTTTCTGTTTAAAATAATTTCCTCAAAACAAAACATCCTGACAGTCAAATAACTTAGTAGAAATAAATCACCTAAGATAGAACTTATAATTGAGAATGATCAATTGTCATTGAAAGTTATAAATATTTTCATAGACTAAAACCACACAAAAATTAGAATCACTTTCTTCCCTATTTCCAGAAAAAATTTTTGATTCATAGAGACGAGCGGACTTCTAATTTCATAGAGAACCCATTCCCAAGTCTATCTCACTCCATTAGTTTTTGCTTATGCCATAAAATTTATTCTAGCTTGGATATAATGTTATCCCATCCCCTAGGTATAGATTTAACTCTTTTAAATTACCTATTTTATATTTCTTGTACTTTTATTTATTTATATTTTTCAACTAACTGAAATACCTATGAAATGAAGAAAACTCTCTATCTAGTTAATGCATTCCAGATAATCCAGCCAAAAAACACATGGTCATCGACTTTTATGATTTTAATTTTTTTTTCATTGCATATAACATGCAAGATTTTACTTGGATATCTTAAATACTTTTGAGATATGTATTAATTTTCTAAAATATATGGACAACAAAGTTGGGACTTCATAAATATTTTAATAATGAAGAAAAAAATGTAAAATTTCAAAATAAGATTTCAGAAAAAATGCACTCCAATCATAGAAGTAATTATAATTTTAAAATAATCATTACAGTATGGATTTACAGAGTCTGGAGTAAAATTTGTGGTTATTTGACTACAGTAAGTAAAAAAAATATTCAAATTCTTTGTTTAAGTTAAAATAGTGAAGGGGTGGTCGAGCGGGTTAATACTATGCAAAACACGGGTTGACCGGCAACCTGATTAACTGAACATAAGACGATAAATAATAATAATAACGAGTTCACATCCCAGTGCCAGGAGAGGGAGGAAGAGGGAGCTTTTAAATCTCTCATTAATTCTCCGGACTCTTCTCTGGCCCGGGAAAAATCCCATATAGCCTAAAAGTTAATGAAGATGATGACATAAAAAAAAGTTAAAATAGTGACATAGTTTATATTTCAATGATTTGTTTACATAAATATTTGGAAAGACCTTTAGAAAAAGACAAACATACATATAGAAACATGTTTATTAAATGGTACAATCATTAAAAGTTGAAACTTGAACATCATAAACATTTTAATGAAAAAATGTAAAAGTTAAATAAATATTCAAGGCAAAAGATGTTAGAGTTATCAAAATATCTATCGTTTCTTATTATCCTTAAAGTATCTATTTAAATCTGAATAGGATGTGGACTAAAATTTTTATTTTTTTTATTATCATTATGACGTACATAATTATGAAGTTAATATTACCTATGTATACATAGGTATGCATATGTTTTTTTAGCTTAGTTTTAATTTTCTTATTTTTAGGTTATTTTATTTTATTATTTATTGTATATACTTTTGAAGAGAAGAATAGTTGGGGTGGTCAGTCAAAAAGGAAATAAATGATAATATTTATTTTGTACAGTGTTTTTTTTATTTTATATTTATTTATTGATTTTTTATTATTTATTTTATTATTTTTTAAAAAATAACAAATAAAAAAAGTAAAAAATAAAAAATAAATATTATCATTTATTTTTTGCCTTCCTTTTTGACTGACCACCCCAACTATTCTTCTCTTCATTATCCACGACAGTCAACCAATTACCAATTATGTATATACTTTTGATTATTATTTTGCTTCTATTTATTTTATATTTTTTTTTACATATGGTGTGAATGTTATCCTACCTCAATATAACCAATGTCCACGAGACAGATTGTTGTAATACTTAATAAATAAATACAAAAATATTTCCTAAGTATTTGATGGCTTATTAACATAAACTATTTATTATTTTAGTATCGTCAATGTGTTTATGGTATACGTCAATCTATTAGTTTTTGTAAATACAACAATTTATGTGTTTAATATGACATTTTTATTGGTAGTTTTTAGCCACTCCAGTGACAAAAGCATTAATCGATTTTTTTTTTTTCTGTAAAAGAGATTGAATCAATTAACTTCCAGTACATTACCCATTGGTGTATTGCACCACTGATAGCCATAATGTATATATGTGATTCTTTATATAGGAATCCTGACTTGAGATGTTGGTTAATAACTGTATGATGACATCTTTGTACAAAGATACCTCTATATAAAATTTGCAAAAGAAACATGAAGGATAATCAGCCAAAAAATGATTCACTTCCAGATTTTATAATTTTGTATTAGATATCAACTTTTTTAGCTTCATCTGAATTAAAGTATGAATTCATGTCTTAGGTTTACGAAATTTTAGAAAAATATTTATGAGGTCTTATTTAGCTTTTATTTATTTTATTTTTACAACAATGGCAGGGCTCCTCAACCTCTTACGGGTCATTTTAGTCCTTACAAAATATTTATTTTACATTGATTTTAGATGAAATTAAATTTAACAATAAATTGAAAGCATAAAATATTTAAAACAAAAAAAGAGTCAGCAAATTTTAAATTTTGTTGTAAAGGTGCGTTATTTGAAGAAATGTAAAGCCCTTTTTTGCCAATTTGGTAGTATTTTTTAGAATTTCAGTTATATCGTTCTCCAATTCAACTTCATTACGTTGTTTTTCATATCCGTAACATTCAGTCAAAATGTGCCTGATTGTTAAATTGACCCCGCAGCAGAGACACTGAGGGGGCATCCCCTTTCTCATCAGGTGCTCATGAATTAGCCATGAGTGGCCGATTCGGAGCCTTGTCAGTATTATTTCTTCTCTTCTTTTTAACTGAAGGTCCGCTCGATTGGGAACTACAGAGGGTTCAATCACTCTCAACTTATTGTCTCTTAACACATTCCAAAGACCCTATCATTTTTCCAAAGCCTTTCGCTTTACCAAAGCTATTACTTCTTTTGGGAAAGCATATCCTACTGGAGTTCCTTCTGTAATTGCTTGTTTTGCCATGATATCGGCTAGCTCATAACCTCTGATACTTGAGTGACCCGGTAACCACAAAAATTGTACCTTACATCCTACACCCTCCAATGTTTTTATATGCCTAACCTTGTCTGTGACTAATGAGTTTGTTGAAAACGAGTTTTTAATAGCTTTGAGGGCAGATTCCGAATCTGTACAAATATAAATTTGTTGTTTATTGCAGGTGAGACTACAAATGGCACGATTTATTGCAAACAGTTCTGCATGGTAGGAAGTGCAATAAGGGGGCAATGAAAACATTTCCACATTATCAAAAACAGTGGCCGCAACGACTCCATCTTGAGTTTTTGACCCATCTGTGAAAAGATATTCCCAATTGGAATGTTTCATTTGGAAGTCCGTAAATTCTGCCAATCCTAACTTTGAAGCAAGGGCCTTGTTACATTTTACTTTATGTATTTTTGGAATTGGTAACAGCCAGGGCTCTGTTTGCAATTGCCGAACTTCTAGAATGGAAGGAGAGGTGCGAGATCAAAGTCTGTGATGTGAATTGAGCACCTTTCTGGTAAACATAATTTAGTTAGTGGGTTTACGAGAACTGTTGTTGGTATAACAAGTGTGTTTTTTAAAGGGTGAGTGGGTCTAGAAATTGTTTTTATATAGAACGCCAAGTCTAAAATTTGCCTTCATATAGCCAGTGGCATTATACATGCTTCGACTTGAAGGCTCCCTATGGGGCTTGATCGAAAAGCACCAGTGGCTACTCGAAGTGCTATGTTTTGGATTGTATCCAGCATCTCAAGTGTCCTTTTGCTAGCGGAACCATATATTATACACGCATAATCTAATTTGCTCAGTACGATTGCCTTATACAATCGAATTATACTGATTCTATCAGCTCCCCAGTTGTGATTGCCTACTGTTTTTAGGATATTTAAAGTCTGTAGACAGTTAGCCCTAAGCTGTTTTATATAGGGTGTCCATGTAAGAGCGCGGTCTAAAGTGACACCAAGATATTTAATGTTCCTTGAATACACTAAATCCTTCCTGTCAATTTTAATATTTTTAATGGTAAAATTTCGTTTTCGCATAAATAATATCGTCTGTGATTTGTTGATGGAAATTTTAAAACCATGTGTATTAAGCCAAGATGTTATACCTAATAAAGCTTCTTGTAGAATTTCGTGAATAAGCGTAGTATCTTTACCCTTAACATAAATCACTATTTAGCTTTTAAAGTTATTTACTTTTTTTGTTGCCTCTACCCTGCAGGGTCATTCACAACACATTTTATTTACACTCTGTTATAGAATTTTTTTACTTATAAAAAATAAAAAAATTTTTGCTGCTATTTCCTTGCTGTTTTCTCAAGTTTTCTTTTAGACTTGTGCCAAATCCAATTTTTTCCTAACAGTTTCAAATATAGGGTCCTGAATGGTGCGTTGGACTGTACTTTGAACCTAATAATTTTCACAGGTTGGTGGGTCCAGTCTTCTAAGTAAATAGACATGTGAGAACTCACAATTTCCAATCCTTAATCTGCAATAAATTTTGAGTTTTTTCTTCAAAATATTTGTGATGTCCAAGTTTGAGTCAATAACTCAACATAAAACTGCTCTATTTAATAAATATGTTAATGAATATATTCTATATGTTATTATTTATATTTTTGAACAAAAATAATTGTAACATGATGAAAATTGCCAGTTATGACATTTTAAATTAACTATGTCACCAACGCTAGTGTTGTGGGAAATGCAAAAACGTTGTCCATATATTTTGAAAAAAAAATTAATGTTTCAAAAAAATATTTAAAATATCAAAATAAAATTTTTCAGGGCTAATAAGGATGTTAGAAAAAAATAATTGATACGCATTAATTTGACGTTTCGACCATACTAAGGGCCATTTTCAAATCTTGATGAGTCCTCCATTATATGTTCATCATTAATGTTGTAATTAATATGTTCAGTGAATATTAACTTGTCCCTATATAACATGACAAGTTAATGTTCACTGAACATATTAATTACAACATTAATGATGAACATATAACGGAGGACTCATCAAGATTTGAAAATGACCCTTAGTATGATTGAAACGTCAAATTAATGCTTATCAATAAAATGTTGGTGAAAATTGGTCTAATTTATTGTAAAAAATAAAAAACTTCAAGACACCAAAAGTAGGAAAAATGAACAGAAGAAAAAATAATTGTAAAAATATGGACCATGGGTTTTATGCGATAAGGATTAATTCGATAAGGATTGATCCTATTTATAATTTCTCCAAATTTCTAAAATTATATTATTCAAACAATTTCCTACACAAATGGAAAAATAGGTGCATCTTAAATATGAGGGGTAATACTGTATTACTGAATAGATACCTTAGCTAACACTAAGTCAGCAGTCATGATTTACTTTTAAAAAAAAACATAGTAATCTTGAATGATAAAAACCACAGCAGTCAACATTTTTTAGATGTTATTATTTATGGTTTATTGTAGAAGTTAGCAGAGGTATACCTATTGGGGGGAGGGAAGAAATAGTTCACCTTGGGTCTCACATCGTGAGGGGTTCTACAAACATGGTCTAGTTCTTTCTTTCTTTTCTTTTCTTTTTTTTTTTTTTATTGAATGATAATGTATTTGCAAAAACTATACTTTTTCTTTTAAATCAGACAAGAACAATTATATTAAAAATATTTATTATTTTGTAAGGAGTGGGGTAAAAATATTCTGGAGTTTCCAAGTTCAAATCTCGGCTCATGGTAGATAAATTTATTTATTTTGTTTCATCAGCTGTGATATACCCAGCCTCTATAAAGTGGGTACTCTTAAGTAAATGATTAAGGAGGGAAACCTGGTGGTTCAGTGTGATCTTGGTCAAATCACCTCCCTGTATAACCGTAGACCAAGAAACAGTACCTTCCTGTACATAGTACTGAAACCAATACCCTTCATGGGTTGTGATACAGGTTTTTTTTTATTATTTTTTAAAATTTCATTTATTTTTTTTTAAGGGGCCTTAAACATTAATCCGCCACAGGTCTCAATTAGTCTTCCCAACGGAGGTGCATAAATAGAAGTTTATTAAGCTTATTGAACTCTGTAAAAGAAGTGAGAAAAATGTACCCTTACTTTAAATAAGATAAAAAACATTTGTTTATTCATTAATATATCTTTTAAAAAAATTAATATGCATGGCAGTTTTTTTTTTATTCTAAATGCAGCATGTACATGGATCAAAGTAATATTTCAATATCTTAGTCTTTTTTTTATCTCTGATCTTGAGCATGTTAAATAAACTCTTAATCTAAATTCTATTTAGCACACTATAATGTTTTGTGCAAAAGACATACAAATTTTTATTAAATGTTTTTTATATGATACATTTTTTTTTTAAACCCCAATGATAAAAAAAAATTCAGTATAATGATAATTATTTTTTATGATGTTTGTACATCAGTGACATTACTTTTTTACCTTTTCTCTTACTATCAGTATATTGTAGTATTTTTTTTCTTAACTCGTAAGAAGTTGGGATTGATATTAAGAGAAATACCACCGTTTTCTCCAAATATCATTCCCACAACCACACACACACAAAAAAAACAAGATACTTTATTCCCTTTAGGAAGTATTAACGTTGGTATAGATTACTTAATTAAAGGCTATAGATAGGTTCATTTTTCAAAATAATTATAGACTCTATCAAATATTCACCCAATTCACAAAAATTAAATTTCTGCTACTATATTATTTATTTTGCTGTGGTACCTGTTGTTGGATAAGTAGTGGTTTGTGTTTGATGTGATTTTGTATAGCTTGACTCCCTTGTACTATTTGCCAATTTTGGCAAATTCTTGGTTTTTGTACTGCTATTGCTTCTTGTATGCTTCTCAGTACCATTCTGATGTTGTTGTTTTACCTGTTGTCTGCATTTCGCTCTTCGGTTCTTGAACCAAACCTGTCAGCATATCACAATCGAAGTTAAGTACCATAAAAGATTCAATAAATAAATTTAACAAAAAATAATTACTACTTTGTTTAAACCTAAATATTATCTGTAAAAAATGTTAGCTCTTTTTGTTTAATCCTATTAGATAAATTATAAACTTAAAGAATTATTGTTGATTAATAAATATAATTTTTTTATAATGATATAGAGATGGTTAACCGTGATATAATATGAGAAGGAGTTGATCGGGGGGTGCGGTCAAATAAATACTAAGATATAGGAATAGTATTATATTTTATTTAGTATTATATTTTATTTCTTTATCAGACAACTTCTTCTTATTTTATATCTACTTATATTAATTTATTTTATTTTCACCATGTACCTTTTATATTTTGTATCTTTTGTAGCCCTGATGAAGACCTGCAAAATGGGTCGAAACATCAGCAAAATATTATATAATACTATTTCTATAATTAAGTATTTCTTTGGCCACTCCCCCTCTCCCCCTCCTCCCCCGATCACCTCCTCATAATTTTTTTACTGTATTTTATACAATTCAGTAATACAATAACTTCTTAGAACGAATCTCACTTACCTTTTACCTGAAAATCATTGCAACCATAAGCAGAGATGTTATCATGACAAAAATATCTTTTTACACCATAAATATGATTTGGATTTTAGTGAAAACTGCAAAATGATATTATTGCCATTATAACTCAAATGTGTAAAATGTTTTTTACCATTTTCTAGTCCTATAACTCAGTTCCATCTGTTTTTTTTATCTTTATTGGCTTCAAGACTTGTCAAAGCAAGTCCGATTTTGCCAATAAAATATTTTAATTGTCATTGTAAGATGAAATTAAACTAGATATTTATTGAATATTTCTAGATATATGATTATTGAATGTAACTAAATATTGAATGTAACTTATATAGAACTTGAACTAGAAAGACTAATAGTTAAAAACTGCGGTAACAGTAGTTTCATAACCAGATGATATTTAAGAGTTGCAAACCATGGAAACAAAGCTATCTTCTGTCTTTACCCCTCGAGTCACATTCCCAGTCGGAGAAATGCTATCAGTCTTTCATTATTTTCTCCCTCAGTATTCTTATCAAATCCAGTAAAGGAACCTTAGTATTTATCCGATGTAGTTGGTTTTGATTTGCCGTTTTGTCTGTCATTTCATTTCCTGATACTCCTACATGTCCTGGGACTCACTGGAAAAAGTAATTGTTGCTGGTGTTGTGTATTAGTGATATGATTTTAAAGAAAATATGCGTTAGTGCTTTATTTTGATACATTAATTTTAGGAGTTCACGTGCAACTAATGAGTTTGTCAGAATAACTATTTTTTGATTGATGTATGTATTTTAGCTGTATATTATGGCATTGAGAATGGCATATAGTTCAGGGCTGAAAATGTTGAATTCAACTGGTATTGATCATGAAAATTGCCATCTTAAGTTGGCAAATGACTTGAGGCTGGTGTTTGTTGGTGTAGTATTGCCAGACTTCCATAGCTATTGCAATAGTCTATTCAGCTATCTCCCCTCTCCAGAATATTTTAATTTATCAATTTTTTGTATATTATGTAAAACTCTTGAGATTTATACTCTTCATTTGGTTACTCATTGTAATTGGGATGTCAAAATGTTTTTAATAATGCGAATAATTTGAGGATTAAGATAAACCTTCAGTACATATACTGTTAGTTCAGTTGGTGCTATAAAATTAAGATAAAATTTTAATATTTAATAAATCCAAGACTAAATACTGGATCACTGTTAATCTTGAAAAAAAAAATAAATTTTTGTTAAATTATCTCACAAACATTCGTTTGTTTTTAGCCCTTCTAATTTATTTCAATATTAACGATTTAAAAAAAAATATATATCTTTAAACTGTAGTATAAAACTATTTTTTAATTTTATGTATCAGCACTAGCCGATCCAGGATTTAATTTTGGGGGAGGCTTCAGTCGGAAAGCTTTTTTTTTTCATAAAAATGACGATAATTACTTTGAAAAAAAAGAAAGAAACTAACTATTTATATGATATGGTGTTTAAGTGATTCCTTAAGTCCTTTTAAATGTAATTACATGAACAATAATACTTTAAGAGATAATTTTTTAATATAAAACATTCCATAAAACATGGTTATATTTTACCATTTTGGGGGAAGAGGGGGTCTTCAGCCAGAAAGCCCTCCTCCTCCCCCCGTAGATCCGCCCGTGTCAGTGACTTCATATCTAAGACGGACATCTAGTCATTTTTAAAAATTGAGAAAACCTAATTTCTGTAACATTGCTTCAGTAAAGTGATGATTTAATATCCAGTCAACTAAGGAAAAATTACTACAATAAATTATTACAAAACTTTAATTTATTTTGTTTTTTCGATGACGTGAGATGAATAATAACAAATATAAATGCATAAATACACTTTTTATTTCTATGAAAAAGTGTCAGAAAAAATGATTTTTCGATAACTCATCAACTGAACTGATTATGAAAATGTGTTTTTTTACTAATATCTCTATTACAGGAATTGATCCGTATTTCTAAGAGACAAAATAAATGTTTCTAGCCTTAAAATGTACGTTTAAAATAGAGAAACATGCTGGTGGCTTCAATTACTTTCATGAAAACATATGTATATTAATATCCTGGTGAGCAGTCATGGAATAAATGATCGAAAATACTATGTGTCAACTATTAAGATACAAATCAATCAAAACAGCATAACTTCGTAAAGATTCACTGAAATTATCATTATTTAATGGATTGTAATTTTACTACGTTAAACTCTTTACAGTTTAATTCTTACACTTGATAATAATTTCACAAATTTTTATGGAGTTCTATTCTGTCGACTAAAAAAAAATAATCTTCAAAATTATTTCGTTCTTCGATATAAATTGTTCAAGTACCGATGTAATACTGTATCCACTGGCTCATTGTAATATATTTTTTACTTTCACAAGGAGAAGATCCCAGACGTGTCTTCTAGATTTTGATGAAATTTTTATGGGTAACTCTAGACCTCAAAATATCAAGGGCCAAAGCTCCTCCGGAATCCCGTAAAAAATGTGGATGAATGCATAAGCAAAATACATTTCATTTTATATTTCTGCTTCTAATGATGACAGAAAAATAATTTTAGTTCCAAAATGTGTCCCTCATACTATGTGAAAACGTTAAGGAGAATATTCCAGTTAAAGTAATAAATCATCAAAATATGTCTGTATTCTCTGTATCCTACTTCGTATAATTTATAATAAATATAATAATGAAATATATATTTAAAAATAAGCAATCCTGGTTGCGCTGCTTATTCGAAAGGAATAAGTTAATATTTGAAAATTGTCTCATAGCAATTCTAATTATTTTAAGCAAACGTTTGCACCGTCAATATGAGAATGTACATATTTTCGAAATAATTTTCAGGATGACTGGTACAACGTTTAAACTTCCCACGAGTTTTCTGAATTATTCATTCGCCATATTGAACTTATCTCTTTGAAATATGACTTCTATCATCAATCAAACGAAATGTCATAACCTAGTTAAGAAGCAGATGTCTGCGCACCCCTTTCTATATCAAATATTAAACTTTGATGTGAAAATTCCTTTACGAATATTTGTTTATAAATTACTGAAATGGTTTGTCATATTATTCTATTATTTATTTATTGCTTCTTATTTATTAGAAATATTTCTTTTTTAGTAATCAAACGCGAGTTTATTATTTATGCTTAGTATTTTATTTTAGATTTACTTATACAGTTTTAATTAAAATATGAGAAGGAGTTAGTCGAGGGTGCGGTCAAATAAATAAAAAAAATAAAATATATTAATTATTTTAATTATTAATGTATTGTATTAATTATTAATTATTAATGTATTAGGCAAAAATTAAAATAATTAATATATTTTAATTTTTTTTATTTATTTGACCGCACCCTCGACTAACTCCTTCTCATATTATATCAACGGTCAACCATCTCTACATCATTATTTAATTAAAATAATTTGACAAAGCTATAACCATAAAAATATATGTAAAATTATTATAATTAATATAACTATATAAAAAATTATAATATTATTATAAAAAATAACAAACATATTCAGTCTTTTGGGTATTATTTTAAATTTCAAATATATGAAATCAAAAATAAAATTTAATAAATGCTTTTATGTTTTGACGAAGGCATTATTCTGACAAAATTATATTCAAACCTGAACAATTTTTTTGTTCGTTATTGTTATTTATTTAAAGAATGCAATTTTAGGGAAAACTTATTTATTCTTTATTCGCGTATAAAATTGACGAAATATAAGATTTTATATGTTAATATTTAAAATTGTATTTATTATTCATTATAGACAAATATAGAATAAAGGTGCACTATTCATATTTTCGGTTCATAGATTCGGTGTCACTTTTTTAAAAAAAGTATTAGGTCAAAGGTCACAAATAACATAGGCATTAATTTTAATCCAAAATATTAAAAAATTGTTATGATAAAGGTACTAGGCCATAGATCACCAATAACATATGTTTTCATTTTTTTTTTATTATTCAACGTTTCGGCCTCTAGAGCCTTTTCAAGATTCTGTAAAAACAATTTTTATTTAGTTGTTTTTCTTCAAAATATACCATTATAAATAGTCTGTTATACATGTAGTCCTTTTTCTATATTTTTATTATATTTTAGAAAAAAACTATTATTTATAATTGAATAAAAATATAATAAAAGGATTAGATGTGTAACAGACTGTTTATAAAGATATATTTTGAAGAAAAGTAACGAAATAATTTTTTTTTTTACAGAATCTTGAAAATGGCTCCAGAGACCGAAACGTTGAATAATAAAGAAATAAAATTAGAACATATTTTATTGGTGACCTTTGGTCTATTACCTTTAAAAAAAACAACATAAATTTGGTAGTATATGCCAAGCATTTATTTTTTTTATTTCATATTGGTGGAGATATTCTT